ATTCGTTTTGTTTTGTATTCAGATTGCTCTCATTTCAATGTTGGGAACGAATATAAAATAGTTTTTTGAATAAAATCAAAATTACAGATAATAAGTGAACAGGTGAATATCGCTGCCTTATCGAATCAATGCTGTAAATTGATTGCTGAGCATTTAACTCATCAGATCAAGGTTTCTTTCATTTAATTTGCTAGTTTCAATCGTTTCATAACTCGTTTATGATAGTCGATTTTCTGATTTGAGGTGATTGTCGAACGAGCGAACAAACTAGCGATCCATAGTCGAAGGAAATTGGTGACCATCGAAGATGTCAACGAAACACTGAATTTATTTGGAAAAGATGTTGGTTCAGTTTGGATTTGAGTGACATTTTGACTATCTAATTTTTTTAATGGTAGTGACATTCGTAGTCCTGACAGTAATAATTATGAAACTGATATAGTAAAGATTACTTAGTAAGTGAAATATTGTTATGTAATCAATTTTTAGTTGATATTTGGCCACAATGCGAATGGTGTACACGAATCGGTTATATATAAATCAATAAGTTTGAATAGTGCGACCAATGGTGGTATGAATAGTAATAGTAGGCATGATAACGATAAATTATTCGTTAGCGCAGATGATTATCAGTCAGTTGATTTGATGAATCTGATCAACAATCAATCGCAAAAGTTCCCTCAACGTCTATTGTACAAAGGTTATTTGATACTTCTTTTTGATACAATAGCGCAGTCTTTTTCTTATAATTTGCATACGGACACTTTGAATGTGATTAACTGACTTTGTGTAATTTAGCTCATTGGTTAATTTATGAAGGTGAACAGCCATCGATTGTTCAAAATGCTGTTGTTGTAAGTTTTGATTTTGAAGATATTTTTGAATTCTTAATATTTCATAGTCAGTTATTATTGTTACTGTTGTTATTAATGTTATCATTTATATCACATTAACCATTAGGATGTGAAAAATCGCACGTTTAAAATTAAGCGATTAAGTGATTTTGAATGCAATTCTATTGTATTTATTGTTAAGACCATATGATTGAAAATAACCATTGTATGAATGAATAGTGTCATATTGGAATACGGAATTATCTGTTTAGATACCAGAGAAAAGTAGTGTGGTCGAAGAGGATAGTGAAGAAAACGCAGACGATATTTCTACGACCTCAACGAGGTTGTCTTATTTTTAAAGAGCAATATGCAATTTCCGTTGATAGCATTTGGTCTTTGCATTGTGTTGTATAATGATGATTGCAAAAGGGTTCATTGAAGCAATAATAAGGTTGTGAATATCAATGAAACTCTTCCAGAGAATCGTCGATGTTGTTCGGTGCGTCAATGGCGTATCGTGAATCGTTGAAAAAGATCCGAAAATTTGAACGAATAAACGTGAAACCAACAAGTACATATCTGTTATCGTTGGTGAGTTATTTATATCGTTATGGTTTGTTTTATCGATGAATAAAGTGATGATTTTGAATGACATTTACGTTAGAATTGTACATATTCAGTTTTGATTTCGTTGTTTTATTGGTTTGTTTTTAGCAAGCAGTAGACAATTTACGTTGAAGCATTGGGTAGGTGAAAGAAATATACGATCAAAGTTATGAGGATTGTAATTGTAATGAACAAAAATTTGTTATAAATCACGAAAAAAATCTCCTTAGCATATGAGATTAGATCAGGTTCTGTGGTGACAAAACTTCAATGGAATGCAATGAAAGAGTTGAAGGATTCAAGCTGAATGAAAGTAATATGATATAGAGAAACGAACATATTAAGTTAGATTAAGTGCTGAATTTAAGGAACAACAACGATTCTTCAAGGAAATAATGGAAGCTTGTGTAGGTCTGGATGATAAACGAAGGATGGTTAGTTAATAAATGAGATATTTCATTTGTTATAGTCACTGTTATTATTGACGTAATTGTTGCGCATTGTTTTATACTGTCATATGCAATTGTTGCATACAAATAGTCATTCCTGTTCAAAATTATTTAGTGATCAATTAGATTCGATTCACTGTAAGTATTTGCATGCTAATATTATCATGAGAATAATTTACCCAAAATGAAATTTATCCAGATCTTTGTTAAAATCGCTGCTTTAAGCGGATATTTTATTGAGTTCAGCAATCTGGCATAATGAATACCATTTGAATTTCAATGAAGAATTTGAAACATAATGTTAGTAATTGGTGTGTTTTGCTGCAGGAGGCATTAGAAAGTCTTCAACTAGACACGAGTTTGCAATCGTTATTGCCGAATATTTCAAGATGGCTGGCACAAGGAGTTAGTATTTTATTCGTGTTGTTTTCTCACTAACTAAAAATAGTGCATTAGAATTAAAATACTGAAAAAATTGTGCATATTGCAGAAAAATTTGGCATTAATTTGTTTCTGATTCAGTGTTGCTTCATGATTTTATAAATGTGATAGAATCGGTTTGATTGATATGATGAGGTGATTAAGGTTCATGCGAATATAGTTCAACGGTCACTGGCAATGTTGATCTATATTGTACGTGCGCATTCAGCACTTATCCATAACCGTTCACTGAATCTTAAACCTGTGGTTAGTTTCATTTTGTGCATTCATTTTTCGGTTTGTTCCATTTAATATGATAATCGGTTTTGTTTGAAATTCTTTGATTCATTCAATGCATAAAGTCGTACTTGCGATTTATGAATCTATTGTATTAGGTATCGAAGAAATTTTCCGGGGAGGGGGGGGGGGCAGTTACGTAGGTAAACTGATAAACTTAAGCTGATAACGTATGTAAACTGATAATTTCGGGTCTAACTGTTTTGGGGCTCGAGAAATTTGTTCTATATCTTGAAAATTTCGTTGATGGTAAGCAGCATTGTGCTCGTTCAGTTTGTCGTTCTCGCTTTGAAGCGTTTCTTCGACACTTCATGTCATTATCAGAGAAGGAATGGAAAGAACAAAAAGTATTATATGCGATGTTTATGGTAATTGAATCGAATGATTTTTGAGTATGAAAATAGATGATGAAGTTGTTTAGTGTCAAACGAATTGAATGTAAGCATAAAGGAATTTTCAGCTTCACGAAATGATTCCGTCGTTGTTAAGTTGTATGATAAGTAAGCAGTTATGTGTGAGACCAGACATCGATAATCATTGGACTTTGCGTGATTTTGCAAGTAAATGCTTGGTGCAGTTGATAAGGTTTGTTTTTGGGGTACTCAATCATTGTATCGTCTTAATGCGTTTGATAGTTTGATTCATTGTGAATGAAATGTTGACGTTTTGATCAGAAGAAGTTTAAGGAATTTTAAGAATTTAACTGCATAACTGAATTGATAGCGTAGTTCATTTATGTAATGAAGAGAAATGATGAAGAAAATTGCAGAGAACGAGGTGGGATTTGCGATGTGCGGAATCGCGTGCAGAGAACACTCGCAGTGTGTTTCACCGACGTAGAATCGACAGAGAATATGAAATATGGTGCATTTCATGCACTCTTCGATTTATCGAATACTGATCAGGTTTGGGTGATTCAGTTTTTGAGGTTTTATTATTACTGGTTGAAGTTGTAGAGGTTTTGTTATATTACATATTACAACAAATGGTATGTAATCATTTATGTTTTATGTTACCTGGATGAAAGTAGAACAAATCAAGTGTTTTTGGTGAATATCAGTGAATCGTTTGTATATTTGAAGTGAAAATATTTTCAGCGAGTCGCATTATATCCACATTTTGTGGAAATATTACGCGCAGTTCATCCGTCCAAAACGTCTTCAATGCCTCAACAGCAGAAAATTGATTCGACGAAATTATACACTCTTTTATCGGTAATTTTTTTGTTCAATGATTGTTTTGAATTCAAGTCATATTCATAAATATTTCAATTGATATCGCAGTCGATTCAGTTTGTTTCATCGTGTAATTGACTTATAACCTTCACTAATTTTAGTGATATTGAAGTAGTGAATGAACAAATTGAACACTGTTTTCAGCGTTTCGAGCAAGCGATGAATAAATATGCTACCGTGCAGGGTCGTATTAAAGTCGAATGAATGAAAGAATAACGCACGAGCCAGTAATTAAACATTCACAACGATTTGTCACTATAATATAATTGATAATTCAGTACCCTATAATTAATATAATTGGTAATGGATATAATTATTATAATAATATAGTTGATAATGGATAATTCAGTATCATATAATTGATAATGAATATAATTGTTACAATAATATAATTGATAATGGATAATTCAGTATCATACAGTTGATAATATTTACAATCATTATATTAGTATGGTGTTGGATTTTATAATTCATTAATGTTAGACTCATTTTATTATTGTTATAATTCATTTGCATTTCGTTTATTTGTAATATTGGTTCATGGACGAGCGATTTGCGTTAATCTGATTAGTTTTGTAAATATTTACATATGTATCTATTCATTGTGAGTGGATGTTGTGGTACAGTTAAATATCGTGTTATGTTATTATTGCGATTGGAATCGTTAATCGTTAATTGTTAATCGATCAGTTTCGCTGATATTATTGTTGATATGGTTATCATTCGTACCGTTTGTTATTAATGTCGTTAATATTAGAATTGTTACCGCTTTATTGTTGGTATTTATATTGATGTGTGTGTGTGTGTGTGTGTGTGTGCATTTGACTGATGATTTACATTTGACTGGTGTAACGAATTACATTCGATTGTAAAATGAATCTCAGCTGGTATTTAGCTCATCCGTTGGATTTCAGTGGACCTCATTTTGTTTGTTTATTGATGTATCATTTGGTCATTTATGATTATTATTGTTATTATTATTACTGTCATATTATCGTTATTGTTGGTGTCATTGTTATCATTTGTATTGTTGTTGTTAATATCAATACTCTTACTATGACAATATCATTGCAATCAGACTTATTGCCATTCGAATGAAAATAAAAGTTCTTCGGATCATATTCACTGTAACGTTTCATAGACAGTACCATATTCTCTGCAGCAGTTTGCTATATCTCATTTTTTTAATTAATTGAAATAATGCCATTGGTATAGTTTGAATAGAAATAATATGAAATTGATAGCGTGCGATTGTTGTGGTGAGAAGTATTGTGAGGTGAGGAGAATAAGGTTATTGCTGGGAATTAAACGGTGATTGAGGGCGATTTCAGTGTATCGGTTAATGAATTGTTACGAAGCGATAAGAGGAGATCAATTGGAAAGGAGTGAATCGTTTCTGAATCTGAAAGGGATTAGATCAAGGAAATAAAACGAATGCGTGCACCAATATCATCCAATCGAACTGCTAACGGAATGTCATCGGACCATCACTACCATCAGCATCACAGTAATAGCAGTATATTCGAAATGAATAATGCCGCTCATAGCTCAGGTTATTTGTATATTCGTTATTGTTATTATTGTCATTATTATTACTGTTATTATTATTATTATTGGTATTAATATTACTGTATCACTATTGTTATTATTGTCATTATTATTACTGCTTTTATTATTATTGGTATTAATATTACTGTATCACTATTGTTATTATTGTCATTATTATTACTGTTATTATTATTATTGGTATTAATATTACTGTATCACTATTGTTATTATTGTCGTTACTGTAAACCGTGTGAATAAGTCAGCGTAGTACAACGATTTTCATCACTATTATAAATTATTCATCATCAATATCCTAAATGAATATCTGCCTCATTGATGGGTTTGGACGATCGTTTTGAAATAAACTGTTTGTAGGTGGCAGTAGTTCATCTTCACGGCTATTCGTTGGCACTGAATATGGTGCTGATTATGTTAAGGTTAATTTCATTTCGTTTTGTTGTATTATAAAATATGTGTGAATGTTATCAACTACGAACAGAAATGCAAAAATTTTAAATGAAATATGAACGAACAATGCATTTTTAGTTGGTGGCCGAGACCATTGGTATAACAAATTTGTCTGAGAAATGTGCGTCTCAAGTTGGTGCATCAGTCACCTTCGTTATTAAGGTATTAGTTTGATGTATTTTGTGGTATTGTTTAATAATTATTTATCCATTTATTTAATCAACAAATCCAATGTTTCGTATCAAAAATATTCAGTATTAATATTTATCCAGTATTTGATATTTAGTCAGCAAATTGTTTAATATGGCTGATTGTAATATCTGTGGCGGTACTATGCGATAAAGGTGGCGGTAAAGAAAGTGCGAAGCAATCGCATGGTCTTTTAAGATGATTTTTAACATTACAGGAATTACTGGAACAATCGAAGAAATTTGCGAGTCATGCGCGACGAAAACGTGTGATTGCGGATGATTTTGTTGAGGCGCTGAAATTCAGGGGTCATTCGGTTAGTTGTGTTTTGTATTTGTATACTAGCTCGTTGAGATTTATAACGAGCGATTAATGCTATTTGAATTTATATTAGATCGAGATCATAGTGTAAACGTAAATTTGGAATATTGAAATGCAAAAAAATGTTNGAAGAGAATGAATAGATATTTGAAATTTCAGCCAATATTTGGGTTGAGTTCAAAAGAAGGAGTTTCGTATCGTTTGGTTGGTTCAACTGGACGTGATTTGTTCATAAATGACGATCGAGATCTGGATTTATCGTTGATCATCAATGCACCACCCGTTAAACTGCCTCTGCAAACTCATTTCAAAAGTTTGTTTTTGTCCTCTCTTATTATTTGCTAGCGATGGCCTACTCGCCTGACCAGCGAGGTGGCAAAATCAAGGCTAAAACAGTGTGAACAGATACGGAAATATTGTGCGAGCATTGTGGCCAGTAACTAAACGAACGTTTGATAGCCTGGCCAATTGAGGGAATCCAGCTAATTTGCGAATGAATAACATAGTAGTAATGGTAATGGTATCTGTAATAAATGCGGTATGTTTTTATTTTGAATGATAATGATAAGTATTGATGAGTAAATGTATAATAAGGTATTGTTAATGTTTCAGCGCATTGGTTAGTAATAGATGGTGAACAGCCAGCAGTACCAGAGAATCCAATTCCGAAATATGACGAAGATTTGGCATCAACAGCAAGCAGTAGTGTCAACGAAAAAGTCGAGCAACAACAGCAAAACGATATTGGCGGCAGTCATTCGTTACTGTCCATCTTGTCATCACAAAATACGAAAAAACTACGTAAAATTGAACAAATACAAGTGAAAACAATTACAACACATACATTATCTTTGGTACGTTGTGTGGTTTTATTTGGTTTCATTTCGGTATATTCATATAGAATGATAATGAATAGATTGGATAGTTAAGAATGTATTTGATTATTAACGTGTTACAATATTAAATGAGAAGTTGTGCGATTAAGAGAAGAACTCTTCACTTATATGCATTTTAAGGCAAGGTGTAAGATATGAGTGAGTTCATCGTGTTGATATGATTGGTTTTGGGAGTTTAATAAAAATTGAATTGTGATAATTTCATTTGGGTATTCGATTTATTTGTTCAGCTTTTACTTATTTAGCGATGGTGCGATTCAATTGTTTTGTATTTAAGGAACAGCAGATATTCTTCAAAGAAATCACTGAGGCGATTATGGGAAGTGACGACTCACGTCGAACGGTAAATATGTAATCGTATCAATTTTTTTGCGATGTGTTCAACGTATTTTCTGTTGTGATAGCTATTTTTGTGGTACATCGTTATCAGTGTGTCATATCAGTAAGCGTAAATGTAAATTTCAGGAAGCTCTGCATAGTTTACAAACAGATGCGGGTATTCAAATATTGTTGCCGCGGTTTTCGTTAGCGATTGCTGAAGGGGTTTGTTTATTAATTCATTTATTTGGAGTTCCGAGTAGTTGATACAATGAGAAAGTGAATCGATGATTTCCTGTGCGATATGGAACATTTGTCTAACGAAAAGTAATGAAATGAAATGATACGATCAGAATTTGTAATGATATCTTTATCATTTTCCTTGTGGTTATTATGGTAATATTGTGATCATCTTTATTGTTTAGTGATAATCCAAGTATTGTGATTTAGGTGCGATGTAATATCGTTCATCATAACCTAGCGATTCTGATCTATTTGATGCGTATGATCCAAAGTATTGCCTCAAATCCGGCCTTATCGCTCGACCGATGTGTTCGTTTTATTTTCAATTGTTTGGTCATTTTTATCGCAATATGTAACTTTACATTTATTGAAATAGATTGAATATTGTTGACTTAAATGGATATTTGAAGTTTTACATGAATTTATTGCGTTATTTTTCATTGGAAAATTACAATAAGCTTGTTATAACCCAGCTTGTTATAATGATGATAGTAAATTCAGCTGCATGAACTATTACCTTCAATATTGTCGTGCATATTGAGTAAACAGCTCTGTGCACGTCCAGAAACAGACAACCATTGGGCACTTCGTGAATTCTCTAGTAGGTTGCTGTCGACGATTTGCAGGTTTGTTGAAGAGCTTGTTATTGATATTGTTAGTAGCGTTGTTGTAAATGTTATGTGGTTTTTTTAAATGTATGATGATGGTAATTATAAGTGATCAGTATGAATTATAGAGCGTATAACGTGAACGGTTTACGATCACGTATAACACAAGTGCTGACACGAGTATGGCAAGAAGAGAACTCGACACTGGCGACTTTGTACGGTTCTATTTACGCGTTGAATGAACTTGGTATTGATGTGAGTTGACGTTACTTTATTTGCTATTGATTCAAAATGTTGTTTTCGGATTTGTTATTTTTATTGGTAAAATATGATTCGATTGGATTGATATGGTATTGAATTCATTGAATCGTTTCACTTGGATGTAGTCTGAAAAGATTTTTAGACAATTCGAGCCGTGATCGTTCCACGTGCACCACAATTATATAATGATATCAAGAAGGCACAGTCAGATAAGTCGAATCCAGTGGATAAAGTTGGTGCTGAAAAAGTTTATAGTTTCGTTACGGTTAGTTAGTTGGTTATTATTTTTATGGTTATTGTTCCTAGTATTGGTATGGGTTTGATTACTGGTATTATTATTGATAAGAGTTGTTTTAGTAAGCATCATATTGCGATTGTTGTTATGTTAGTCGAAGCGATCGCTAGAGAGGTTTGCTGATTTGGAGTGATATTTCAGAAAGTGCTGACAAATTATGTGCGAACTCAACGACCGACAGGACTGAAGGATGTGAACGATTATCGGACGATGTTCGGTGGATTTGGGGACGCGATATTTAGGTGATTACGTTATTCGTTCATTGTTTGGTCATTTTTGATTATCAGTTTGAATCAAGAATATCGCAAGTATCATAGAGATGTTTTCATGCCTCCACAAGTTACTTTTTGTTTTACATGATTCGTTTTTGATTTTTAATGAGGGTAAATAAGAAAGTTTTAGAGCGATGTCAATAGAAGTGACACAATCGCATTCGACAACATCGGCATCGGCAGCACTTAGTACGAATTCAAGCGCGAGTGTGATCAGCCATAGGTCATTCCCTGATAATAAACGACGAGCGATTCCTGTCTCATCTTTGGTTCGTTTTTATTTTACATATTTGTTATTGTTGTAAATTATTTTTGTCATTATGTTATAATAAATTATTAGAATTATATTATTAGAGCCCTAACGGGTAACTGGTACATCGAGGGTTCGATTCCCGTTCGCGGAGGAAAGTTTCGCTCGAAACTGAGTGGTGTACCAATATCGTTGTCTTGACATTATATAATTATTATAATCGTTTTTGTCTTTAGAATATATTACCCTTATCATTATTTGTGAGTGAATGTAAAAATTATCTATCGTTTTTGATAGTAGTAATAGAAATGAATTTAGCAAAGTCAAGCGCCAAGTGGAGTAGTCGTGAGTCAATCCCCTCAGATGTTATCGTCAGCATCATCGCAGCCCTCACGTATAATCACATCAGTGAATTCTTCGATGAAACAAGACTCAAGTAATCCGTCAAATAGAGTATTTGTTAATAATAGACTAAATCAGCCGCCCCAACAGCAACAGCCCCAGCAGTCCTTCCGACCACAACAAAGCAGTAATAATATCCAGTCATCTTATCAAAATCGAATGTTATAATGTCTAATTATCACTTATCAGTAATTATATCAAGCAGAAATAATGATATGGATCATAATAATGAAGGGTAATATCTGTTGTGAGAAGAGTGATACATTTGAGTGTTCAGTCATTCACTCAGATCAAGTAGTATCGATGAAACATCGTTCTTCATTACTATCGTCACTGTTGTTGTTATTACTGTTGTTGATGTTGTTGTTAACTTATATGATATCTGTACATTATATGAAGCATATTCTTGTTTATAGCAGTTGAGTGGAAGAGTTTTAAGACCAAACACTCGAAGTTTTAGTCATTTTAATATTATGTTGGCATATGAGTGCAGGAGGGAAGGGTGGCTAATGAGAAGGATGTGAGACTGAGAATTTTTGATTGAACTGTGAACTTGTGAAAATTGTTTGTTACACCTACCTGCTTAATTATATTATCGGTGATGTTATTCGTATCACGTTTGTTCTTTCTGATAGTTGTTGTTATTATTGTGAGTAATATTACTCTCTCAGTCTATATTCAGGAATCAAGAAGTTTTGTTTAGTAATACTTTAATTCAATTGATTTGTTGATTGATATTGTTGGTTTTGCTGTTTTGTGTTGTCTTTTGTCTGTTTATGGAATTGTTTTCGTAAGGAACGCTTTTGCTCAATTTATTTATTGCTATC